CTGCAGGGTTTAACACGGGCGACGTCACTCCTGCGACCTGCTCACAGCCCCCATTACACCAAGGATGTCCCGACGGACTCGGGCCGGCCCCCCCGCCGGGCGGCCCCGGGTGAGTCGGCTCGGGGGTCCCAGCCCGATGGCACAGCCACCCGCGCTCCGAGGAAGCCGTCTTCAGCGGGGGCCCACAGAAAATGCACAAACCCTGAAACCCGGGGGTGCGCACATGCACCCTGGCATGGACGTGGTCAGAGGTCAGAGGTCAGAGTTCAGGGGTCATTGTTAGCAGTCGATCCTAAGCCAGCTTAGGTCAGAGCCAGGTCAGTGGTGACTGGCAGTCTCGCTCACTATCTCAGGCTGTTGCTGCTGTTGGGCTGAGATCCAGCCAGTCCAGGGTGATCAGGGCTGTGCCGATTCTGGAACAGAAGACACCATAAAAGGAAACGGCTTACAAAAAAAAAAAGGGCAAGCTCTTTCCCTGTGACGGGCCTCAGGGGCACCCGGCTGGCTGAGCTCTAGGGTTATAGGTTCGAGCCTGGGTTGCAACAGATTGAGCGTTGCTTAAGCCGGCGTCACCCTACACGACACTACACGACTTCTGGTCGGAGAGCATGTCAAATTTATCGACTGCAGTTGCTGAATCTCACTGCCTTTTCTGTCCTGAGGGTGGCAGATTGTATGACTAGGAAGCGCAGGGGGTGACCGATCACACGATTCCCTCACGACTTTCCATCACGGTTCCCAATCTCGTCGTGCGCCGCGGAAGTACCGCGAGGTCGCCTCGCTCGGGCAGCCAATCAAGGTGGAGCGCACCGGAATAGGAAGAGGAGCACCGCACGAAAGTAGACAACAACCACGAAACATCGAAAGGATATGTGTGCTGGCTCCAGAGTTCGACGAGCCTCTCCTCCATTTGCACAGTCCCAATCACCCGCTTCCCTTTTTCCCTTGCGGCCACATCGTTGGCGCTGTACTTCCATCTGAGCGCTCATCAGCTGCGACTGCCGCAGACACAAGAGCCCACCCCTGCGACTTGTGACTGGCTACGAGAAAATCAAACCTGTCCCAGAGAGCCGTAGGGGCTGTTAAGAGCGCTGGGGGTGTCGCACTACACAACCGACGGTATCGGGCGTGCGCTGCGACTCTCTACAACTCGCTGCGATTTTCTAACGATTATGTAAAAGCAGGCTACGACTGAAAGTCCTAGGAAAAGTCGTGTAGTGCGACACCGGCATAAGGGTGGGTTGGGATTAGTCAGCCAGGGCTCGTTGGGTGATACAGCGCCCCCCTGTGGCTACCCAGATACCTGCAGACACATGGTGCCAACAGCGAGGGATGACCCTCTCCTCCAATCAGCTCTGACCCTCCGGTACGAGGCTGTGCTGCCTGTGACAAGCCCACTCTCACCCCCCCACTTCCTCACTCTCCCCTGTGTGCGGTCACGGGGTTCACAGCTGCTAGCCGAGGTGTGGAAAACACAAACGGCAGCTCCGCACAAGATGGAAATATGACAAAAAAAATAGTGCAGGCACTAAAGACACTGTGGTTGAATACACTTATAAACGTGTAATTTAGATCAGAAAGGTTTCTCTTTCAACAGCTGCAAGTGTCTGCACTGGGAGGCAGTTGAGTCCCTGGTACAATGGTTATAAAAATAAAAAATGGCCTGACAGGTAATACTAATAAACATAAAAAGGTAACAGATGGTCTTCTCACCTTCTTCTTTTTCTTATCTTTCTTCTTCTTCTTGCGGTCAGGATCGTCATCCCTCTTCTTCTTCTTCTTCTTGTGGTCAGAGTCGGAGGGCGTCTCTGGAAAGAGATGGGGGACTGTGAGAGGACAGTGCAGGA